TATACAACTTCTGTATAAATTAGATCTCCATTGTGTATCTTCTATATTCATTACTTTCTGTCTTATCCTTTAGGGGTTTTTGTTGTTGTTGTTATTCTTTTATATTTTCTAACTTGTGTGTCCCTTATTGTATATTTAGTTGTATTTATTATTCCTGGGATATCTCATAAGGAGTTTTGTCTTTTGATTCAATTTCTTTTTCTGTGTCTTTTGATTCAATTTATTTTCATATCCATTGCATTTATAATATATTTTTTAAAAGTATTGGTCAGGCAAAAAGTGCTGATGAATTAAGAAGTTACTTCATAGAATCTCAAATAATCTTATGCATTCATTTTAAAAAATGGTGAATTATATCTAATACCTCTGATGCTAATGGAATCTTTTTAAATGCTTGTGACTTTACATATCTTACCATTTAGGCCTGTGAATTCATATTCTGCTAGGGAATATTAGAGATTCTGACTGGAAATAATTACGAGGGAAATACTCCAGTGTCTATGTCAAGGCCCCAGTGAGGTCAAGGCCCCACTTTATAGTCCAAGCACCAGGAAACCAGCTCATCAGGTGAAGACTTTACCTCAGTACTTCTCCTTCCCCCACCCCAGCAAAAAATATTACCTACTTTTTCTATTGTAATCTGACCACCTTCTAGGGGGTCAGAGAAGGAGGGATGAGGATGTGAAAACTCAAATTAAGTTTATCCCCACCCATATTCCTGAGTTCTTCACAGGAGCAGGGTTTCCCTATGTTTCCCTGGCTTTACTCAAGAGGGGACTTAAGCCTCCTCGGTAGCTCCCTGACCACCATATCCTGGGGTCTGAAAAGAGTTAAAATGAAAATTTGGCAGGAACTTTCATCCTTAAGGATGAGAAATATTTTTAAATAGAGGAGTTCCAATACCAGAATAGGCAAACGAACAAACAACAACAATAAATACCCAGAAAACCCACCGTGGCAAGAGTAATCTAGGTTAAAAAAAAGAGAAAATATTATAAATTATCATCAAATATTATAAATTAAAAATTTATGTATCTTCATAACAATAATAAAGCAGAGAATAAAATATAAAAATAAAAGACTGTCAGTAACTATACACTGCCAACGCTGAAAGCTTAGACAAAATGGGAAGCATACATGAAAAAGTATAATCTAGTAAAATAAACTCAAGAAGAGACAAAAAGCATGAATTCTCTTATAACTAGTTAAGAAACTAAAGTACTATTAAGAGACATAGAAAACAATGGCCAAAATTGTTTTCTAGGCAAACAGTGCAAAACTATAAAGGAGGAGATCGTTTCAAATTTATTTAAGGATATTGGGCATAAAAATTCAATCATTTTGAAAAACAGATTAGCACTCTATTATAAATTTAAATTCTTAGCTACTAAATACACCAAGATTCAGCAATTCTGCTCCTAGAAGACATGTACAAGAATAAACATCTGAAAACCACAAAACTGCCAAATCCAGAGATGTCCTTTGGTCTTGCACAGACACACTTACCAGGATGAGTCTCAGAATTAGCTCAGGCTGCAGAGGTGTCCAAAATGATGAGGAAGAAGAACCAGGGATACCTTTCATAGGAGGAGTCCCCAGGCCGGGCTCAGAGATGAGCCTTGTCTGTGGAAGGAGCAGGAGAAAATCTCTCACAACCAAGGAACATGTAGGGCCATTCCTGACATTCTCCTTCCAAAAGAGTTGTAGGAGCACTCTGGCCTCTCACTGGGGCCCAAGACCTGTGGGCCTTCAACAAATCACACCCTTTCTCAAATATAAGCCTCAGATGGCCTGATATCCCAAGAACCTGGTCACTGGGCTGAGGCTCTAAGGCCCGGGTCACTGCGTGCCAGTCCCTTCTCATGAAATAGGTGGTCACATCTTTCTTGCCAGGCTTTGTGAGGTGGGGCTTAGATGAGACAAATAGGAAAGAGAGGATAGAAAACTTTAAGAGAGTTTTTTCAGAAGAATCTATAAGACTTGATGTCCCTTTGTGTATATATGATGGAGAAACGGGATAGATCAAAGATTGTACCAACATATCAAATGTCTTGACCAAAGAAATGATCATATGGTGGAAAGAGAACAAATGTTGGGAGGGGTGTAGATTTGAGGTCTTAGCCAGACCTTCTGATGAATGAAGAGGTTCTGGAGACATTTAGAGATACCACCTTGGAGATTATCGATTCCTGGTCTAAAGGGACTTTGAGATAAACTTCTGAAATCATCACCCTGGCATTAATCATTATTTATTCATGCATCTAACATGATTATTTATTTATTTGAACAACCGAAATGTGTGGGGTATTTTACGGGGACCCAAGAGAATGAGAACAGGGTTTCTTTACTCAGCAGCTCTCACATTCTGACAGGATCAGAATTGTAGAGATAAACACACATATCTTATAATGTTTTACAATACTAGTAAGAAATCTTATGGAGTAGGGACAACTTTGTGAAATAGTATGCTGTTTCATACGCGTTGCGTTCATGGAACATTGAGAAGGCACACTAAAAAAAAAAACTGGACACCAGTGGGTGTAATGAAGTGCTTCTCTGTCCCCCAGTCACCAAAAACCAGGGGAATTGGCTTTTTTGTGCTTTTGTACCCTACCGCCAATTAAGTATGTGTGTGTGTGTGTGTGTGTGTGTGTGTGTGTGTGTGTGTGTGTGTGTACATGCATGGATGCACACACACACACCACATGTAAACACCCATACACTTCAATCCTGCCTCTCACTCCATCATGGTTGCTACAAACATCTCTTCACAGAGAATGAGGAAACTCAGGCTGATAACACCAAAGAAGAAGTTGGACTAATCGAAGTATCCCACATATCTCATTGCAAAGTAATGATTCAGGAGATGAGATTCAGAGCCACCTGCTTTGGACCTCATGGGCTTTTCTCAGGCAAAGAACTGCTTCAGAGATTCTAATGGACTGTGAGCTTCTCAAGGTCAGAGGTTGTGTCTGATTCACCTCCGAATCCCAAATTCCAGACTGATGTCCACAGACCTCATCTGGTGTGCTAAATGAATGTCCATTTAACCAAATACTTTGTTCATTTTTTGATCTATTTTACATTTGTCCTGAAAGCTTGTGGAGGGTAGGGACCTTGTCTGAAAATAGGTAATAAATAAATAGAGAATGGAGCACCTCTAACAGAGACTTAGAGGTCATACGTTTCTCCTTATTTGGGAACCTCACTGAGGGAGTGGCCACTGCCATTTAGTTCACAGCTGTATTCTGCTCCCTAAACAATGAATGGTAGAATGATAGGCTTCAATCAACGAAAAAATCTGACTAATCCAAACTCTTCCTTGATTATTCAATGTCAAGCTGTACTCAATCCCTCAGTCAATGTCACCTCCCGTTCCTCATTCCCAGGGATAACTGGACTCCAGGTTTAGAAGCTCCCCAGCATGGCAAGCCCTTCTCAGGCCACTTGTTAGAGTTTAGGAATAAGCTCCTTAAAAGTAGCAACCATAAGTGACCATCTCTAGAGCCCCCATAAGGCCTAGACGCTGTTCATTTATTTTAGCTTGCATTATTGAGCATCTTCTACATACCAAACATATGCTACATATTTTCATTTCTTAATGTTCAAATCAATGAGTATTAGGATACTCATTGATCATTTTAAAAAGAACACAGATGCCTAGGAAATATGAGTGATATTTCAAAGGTCATGAGTTAGAGCTAGAATTGACACCAGGTTCCCTGAGTGTAGTTACAGAGACCTGACCTCTATAACCTGCCTTCCTCTTGCCAAATTAAGAAAGAGTTAATTGTTTTGATTAAATCGGCTCAATCATCACTATCCTCACAACTGAAATAAATCAGAACAGCACAGCTGCTCTTCAGAGGACAGTTGAGGGAGAAGCGGAGACCCAGAGTCCACCCTGAAGGACAGGTCTCAGGAAGGATGGCTGGGTGGGGAGGGTTCTTCCTAATTCAAAACTCCAGAACAACCAGCCTAGGAATGGCTGGTACCTAAAGCAGGACCTCAAAGGCAAACCCCAAGTGTAGGGAAAATCAGAATGGAATGTTTCCACAACGAAAAATAAAAATAAAAAATAAAAAATAAAACAGCCTGTGACTTTAACCTGAGTTTTCCCAAAGAACAAATAGCATATTTATCCAGACATTGGCTCCTTGTGCATCCCAACCTAACTCTTCAGAGTTCCAGCCTAGAAGGGGGTGCAACTGGATAAAGCCTATCTAGACCCTAGCCCCAGACAGGGGCCCTGGGAGTTCCCAAGGCCTCCTTGAATTGCAGGGACAAGGAGAGAAGAGAACGTCACAAATCACCCAGAACGTGCCTGGTTGGGCAAGAGCCACTTCCTGCTCTTACTAGAGCCAAGCCTGGGTCTATAAAAGACACATACCCAGCTCCAGCACCTCATCTGCTCTGACTCCCTAGGGACATGTCTGTGCTCCTGTGTGTGACCAGGATGAATGAGAACCCGGGAGACCAGAGGGGTTGGAGAAGAACAGAGAGATTGGAGGAAGTAAAGAGTCTTAGGAAAAACAGTTATGTATTTGATACTGAACAGGAATAAAATTCAGAGGGAGCGAAAACTATTGTGCTGTAGTTTAAGATGTCAGTGGCACTTTGCCACTCTGGAAACTGACCTGGGCCGAAAGGCAGTTGTGCCAACCTCATCTATTTTAGGAGCTTGTTTTTATAATAATATGGTGGCACTTTAGAGAGTTTTGAATACTGCATGCAGGACTATGAAGACTGAGAAATCCTTGTGTCCTTTTATAGAGGAGAATAAGACGTTGTTTACTATATCTGCATTTTAAATCTATGTACTTTTAATTAGAGGAAAGATTTATATGGTTCCTCTGGATGCTTATTCATGTTTTCTAAATATCATTTACTATCGCCCTTCATAGTGATTCTAGATGAGGTAAAAAAAAAACATGCCCCTTGATTTAACTAATCCATACTATGTCATTATGCTCTTCCAGGTTGATTAAACACCTGCCCAGATGTCCTGCCAGCAGAACCAGCAGCAGTGTCAGCCCCCTGCCAAATGCCCTTCCAAGTGTACTCTGAAATGCCCCCCAAAGTGTCCATCCCAGTGCACAGCACTATGCCCAGTTTCTTCCTGCTGCAGTTCCAGCTCTGGGGGCTGCTGCAGCTCGGGAGGTGGTAGCTGCTGCCTGAGCCACTACAGGTGCCACAGGTCCCACTGCCACAGACCCCAGAGCTCCAATTGCTGTGAATGTGAGCCTTCACGGGGCTCCAGCTGCTGCCACAGCTCTGGGAGCTGCTGGTGACTTGGGTCCTGAGGACCTCTGAAGTACACATGGGCCAAAGCATCAATTTGCTTCTCATTCTTCCATTCCCTCATTTTGACATCCTGGGGATGGTAGATCTCAAAGCTAACTCAGGCATTTCCACACATAGAACATTCTGCTTATCTTCCATTTTCTTTGCAAAAATAAAGTTCCTGTTTCCTACTTAAAGTATGTCCTGGTCACTCTCTCAGCCCTGTGTAGACCAGAATCATCAGTGAGCCCTTCTTCAGAGAGCCTGAGGCCAAGGCAGAGCTTGACTAAGGGGTGGGTAATTGGGCAGCTTCCCAAGGGTGTGTGTGTGTGTGTGTGTGTGTGTGTGTGTGTGTGTGTGTGTTTAATATAAAATATAAGAAAATATCACCAGAAGTGTAGTGAAACTGAAGAATATGTACTCGGCAGAGCTTGTTTGGAGGAATGAGCTTACGTAACAGAAGAAATGGAAAGCAGAGAAAAAGTAAAAATATGCTATTTGATGGCAGTGTAGCTTCATAATCAGTCTTCTAAGTATAGACATACCTGTCATTGCAAATAGCTTTAGTGTTTGTCACAGATACTGCTTTTTTTACAATTGAGATCTGCAGAAACCCTGCATCCAGCAAGTCTGTCGGTGCCATTTCTCTAGGAGCATGTGGTCTTTGTGCCGTTTTGTCACATTTTGGAAGTTCTCAATATATTTCAACTTTTTCATTATTATTATATGTGTCGTGGCGATCTGTGATCAGTGACCTTTGAAGCAATGACTGCAATTGTTTTGGGAGCACTATGAACTGCATTCATGTAATACAGCAATCCTAATCAGTAAGTGTTGTGTGGGTTCTGACTGCCCAACCTATTGGCCATTCTCCTGTCTCTCTGTCTCCTGGGGTATTCCTATTCCTTGAGACATAACAGTATTGAAATCAGGCTAGTTTATAACCCTACAATGGTCTCTAGGCATTCAAGTGAAATGAAGAGTCACAAATCTCTCATATTAAATAAAAGCTAGAAATAATTAAGCTTAATGAGAAAGGCATGTGGAAAGTCAAGCTATGCCTTTTGGTCCAAACAGTTAGCCAAGTTGTGATTGCAAAGGAAAAGTTCTTGTAGGAAATTAAAAGTGCTACTCCAGTGAATACATAAGTGTAAGAAAGCAAAACTGCCTTATTGCTGATATGGTAAAAAATAAATAAATAAATAAATAAATAAATAAATAAATAAATAACTTGTGGTCTGGATAATAGATCAAAGCAGCCACAAGATTTCTTTAAGCCAAAACCTATTCCAGAGCAAAGCCCTAACTCTCTTCAATTCCATGATGGCTGAGAAATGTGAGGAAGCTGCAGAAGAAAAGTTGGAAGCTAACAGAGGTTGGTTCATGACGTTTAAAGAAAGAAGCCATCTTCAAAACCTAAAGTGCAAGGTGAAGCAGCAAGGGCTGATGCAGAAGCTGCAGCAAGTGATCCAGAAGATGTAACTAAGATAATTGATACACTAAGCAACAGATTTTTAATGTAGATGAAACAGCCTTATATTGGAAGAAGATGCCATCTAGGACGTTGATAGCTAGAGAGGAGAAATCAATGCTAAGTCTCAAAGAAAGGCTGACTCTTGTGGTAGGAACTAATGCAGCTGTTGACATTAAGTCTAAGTCAATGCTCATTTTTAATTCCAAAAATCCTGGGGCCCTTAAGAATTATGCTAAATCTAATATATCTGTGCTCTATAAAATGGAACAACAAAGCCTGGATGGCAGCACATGTGTTGACAGCATGGTTTACCGAATATTTTAAGCCCACTTTTGAGGCCTACTGCTCAGAACAAAGAATACCTTTCAAAATATTACTGCTCATTCACAATGCACTTATTCACCAAAGAGCTCTGATAGAGATGTACAAGATTAATCTTGTTTTAATGCCTGCTAAGAGAACAACTGTTATGAAGTCCATGAATCAAGAAGTAATTTCAGTTTTTAAGCATCATTATTACATAAGAAACATATTTTGTAAGGCTATAGCTACCATAGACAGTGATTTCTCTGATGGGTCTGAGCTAAATCAATTGAAAACCTTCTAGAAAGGATGCTCCATTCTAGATACCATTAAGAAAATTCATGATTCATAGGACAATGTCAAAATAACAACATGAACAAGAGTTTGGAAGAAGTTGATTCCAACCCTCATGGATAACTTTGAGGGATTCAAGACTTCAGTGGAGAAAGTAACTGTATACATGATGGAAATAGGAAGAGAAAAACAAGTGGAGTCAGAAGATGGGACTGAATTGCTGCAATCTTATGACAAAACTTGAATGGATGTGGAGTTGCTTCTTATGGATGAACAAATAAAGTGGTTTCTTGACATGGAATCTACTCCTGGTGAAGATACTGTGAACATTACTGAATGACAACAAAGGATTTAAAATATTACATGAACTTTGTGATAAAGCAGCAGCAAGGTTTGAGAGGTTTGACCCAAATTTTGAAAGAAGTTCCACTGTAAGTAAAATGTTATCAAACAGCATCACATGCTACAGAGAAATCTTTTGTGAAAGAAGAGTCAATCAATGCAGCAAATGTCATTGTTGTCTTATTTTAGAAAATTGTCACAACCACCCCACCTTTGGCAGCCACCACCCTGATCAGTCAGAAGCCATCAACATCAAGACAAGACTCTTCATCAGCAAAAATATTATAACTCACTGAAGGCTCACGTTATAGTGGTTTTTTAGAAATGAAGTATTTTTAATTAAGATATCCACATTATTTCTTAAATGTAATGCTATTGCACACTTAATAGACTGTAGTATAGTGTGAACATAATTTTCACATGCACTGAGAAGCCAAAAAATTCATTTGACTTGGTTTATTGCAATATTTGCTTTATTGCGGTGGTCTGGAACTGAACCCACAGTGTCTTCGAAATATGCCTATAGAGTAAATCCAGTTAACTGTAGAATTTTATTTTGCCAACTGGTGATACATCTTTTTGCTTAAACCTTCTCCTATTACAGAGCTCAATCTCTCTTCTCAATCTCTGTTGAATATATATTTACACAAGACCAGATTGAAATTACCCGTAAAATGAGTTCATCCAGATGCCTATGTGTCTCTGTCTAGTCTGGCCTATTACCTGGTGGTTAAGAGCATAGACTTTGAACTTCTTGGGTTTGAATTCCAGTCCTGCCACTTAGTAGCTGTGTGAAACTCTCTGAGCCTGAGATTACTCATCTGTAAAATGGAAAAGATAATAATAATGTCTTCCTTGAAGAGTTGTTGTGAGTTAAATGGGTTAATATATGTAACATGCTAACAGCAGAGACTGTCCTAAAATGAAGCCTGTATAATTATTTGTTGTTCTTGCTGCTGGTGTTTTGCTGTGAAAAGCGAATCTGGGTTGCCAGAAAGTCTAGACTAGGAAGCTGAACCAATGTCTTGTTTCCATTTGGACTTACTCAACAATCATACCCACCACAGGAGGCCATAGCTGAAGGTCATCACCCTTGTTGCTTTTCTTGCTTGCCAGAGTCCAATAACAGGTGAGAGCTGAGAATACATTTTTAGAACACCCACAGCCCTCAAGATCCAACCAGAATATCTGCTTCCTTTCCAAGCTTAATCCTCTGGCCATCAGAGGGCCTATGACTCAGGAAAATGTTGGGGAAATGGCTCAAGTACCAACAGGGAAATAAAGACAGCTTTCCCTAGTGTCAAACTGAGAAGAGTCTATGTAGAGAAAATTCCAGACCCAGATTGGACTGAGATTCTGATAACAGAGTGACTCTGCGTGTGATACAGCTATCTGCTCCTCCCTATGCCACTGCACATGCCACAGACTGGCCTTTGCCTATCTCCTGAACTAAAGAAATAACTGGTTGGGTGGCCATTCTGCATATGAGCTTACTCCAACCAAAATAAAAAAAAAACCTTCCATACTGCAACAGTAACCATTTAGGATTCTTTTTCAATCAACTTTAAAATCGTAAATAATTTAGAAACTATGGGAATACAGAGAAAGAATAAATTAATAATCACCCCCACATATCCTGCCACCCAGATACTATTATTGACACCCCTGCTTATTGGTACCAGAGCACACCTTTCATCCTACTGCCTTCAGGTACAAACTCATGCTATCCTTGGACCTTGAAAACCTTCCTCCCTTTTAATTTTAATTAAATAAAAATTTACTGTCTCCAATTAGTCAAAGCTCACTGAGGGCAGAAATCAAGACCCACTAAACTGTTTCTGTCACCCAGCTCTAGCACAGACCTGAGTACAGAGCCAAGGAGAAGATATGCTGGTTGGTCAATTGGTTGCCATGAGTCCCTTCAGAAGCTTCTCTCCAGTAATGTACAGTGGACCATACATGGGAGACACTCATACTAATTGTTAGTGTTTTGCTAGTGGGGCAAAAAAAAAAAAAGGAAGATATAAAGGAAAATGGACATTTCTATGGTTAAGATTGCCAATTAAACACTCTAATCCCACAACCACATCATAAGATGGCCTAGACACAGGGTTTTTGTCAATATCACCACCTTTGTCATCTTAAATATCATCAACGTAAGGGGGCAGCTGCTTTAAATAGTAAATATATTTCTAAAAAATTTTAGGGGGGGATTCACAACAAAATATCATCCATTTGTTCATTGATAGTTACTTATTGAGTGCCAAATTTACGCCAGAAATTATTAAGTGATTTCTTAGTCTATTTTCTGCTGCCATGACAGAGTACCAAGCCCTAGTTAATTTTTTGTGTGTCTCACTTGTAAGTGGGAGCTAAACAATGAGAACACATGGACACAAAGAGGGCAACAACAGACGCAAGAGCCCACTTGAGGATGGAGACTGGGAGAAGAGAGAGAATCAAAAAAAGTACCTCTCAGCTACTACACTTATTACTTGGGTGACTAAATAATCTGTATACCAAACCCCCACAACATGCAATCTGCCTATATAACAATCCTGCACATGTACTCCTAAACCTAAAATAAAAGTTAGG